TTGACTCATATGGTAGGTATAGGTTTTGCCTTCCTAAGAAAGCATAAAATGATTGTCCAAACTAGTAGGATGATTTTCTTTTTATTTTCAGCAGCAGGTTATGAGCATTCAATTGCTCCACAATCATGCCAAAGTTTCATGACAAGGACGTTTACCCTTAGCCATTCTAGTAAATATGTTGTTGTGTCAATTTTGGTTTATTTGCATTGCTCTAATGCTTCATAATGATAATTTTTTTCCTGTCCTACTCACTATATGTCTCCCTCTTTGGGTGAAATTTTTTTATATATATTTTCTCAGTCTTTGGGGTTACCTGCTCTCTTCTGAGTTTTGAGAGTTCTTTTTTTATACATACGTAAGCTCTTTATCAGTTCTGTGACTTGTAAAAGTGGGATCCAATTTCTAAAACGTCCTAATTGTTGAGGGATATCATATAATGATGCATTTTTGGTTTTCTAAGAGCCTGCAAAACAGAGTTATAAAGATAAACAGGATTTTCAGACCAAATTTCAGTTGAAGCAAAGTTTCTGATTTGGTAATAAATATTTGACATGACCAAGTTTCTGGAGTACTCATCATCAAATCAATGAATAAGTTATGTAATTAACTTGATCCTACTAAATTAAAATAATACTCTACTGGCACTTTCAGTCTAATGTTGCAGTTTGTTTTAAACAAACTATTCTAGGAGATTAGAGACAAATAAACAAATGTTTACAATCAACAATTAATATTGAGAACAAAATGATTCGCAAAATAATTCTTTATTTTCAGTTTAACAAACATCATTGTGACCGATTTAGAGAAAATGCCACAATTGTTGAGATTTGGGATATGAGCGCCAGGAACCTTCTAACCTGTCACCATGCTCTTTGCATGTCTCACAACCACAACAGCCAAGACAGAAATCCAGATGGATGAGGATCCTGTCATCTCTGCTGGGCCACCTCCCATGCTTCATCATAGACTCAGCCACCATGCTGGTGAGCTTTCCTAAGAAAGGGTGGTGGATACACAAGGTCCCCCCACTGGCATGGGCTCCTCTATAATCAAGTCATTTTATATGCATTATCTGTCCTAAACTACCGTGATTTCTGACGAAGGTTCTACCATATCCACATATATAATTTTTAGTCATGTTTCTAGTTTGATGGCATGTCCATCTAAATATTTTACCTATTTTGGTGTTGTTTTTTAAAAATTGTGTTTTCAAAGCATTTAAAACATATATCAATAGATACAAGAACTTTATCAAATATGTGACTTGCAAATGTTTTCTCCTACTCTGTGGCATACTGTTCATTTCCTTCAGAGTGAAAGTGTCTAATGTTCCCTAAAGTGCCTCCACATCAGCATTATTAACTGCAAAAAAGATGATAGACATCCATGCTGCTATTGCACTTCATCTGCATCTCCATATATTTAGGCAACATGTATATATTTGTATGTGGTCCATTTGTTTTCCAGGGTCTTCTTATCACTTAAAGGCTGGATAAGGTAGCTCAACCACCTAATCTTTGTTCATAGAAGTCCAGCATCCTCTGTATGAAAAACCAGAAAGTGTAAGGTAGCTCTGTTGTCATTGCTCTGCTGTCTAGTCCTGCAAATTTGGCTCATCATAAAGGTCTGACCACCATAGACTTTATTCCACATACTCTTTGAGTCATGGACCAGGACATTTGCTCTGATTCATGCACAGAACTTCTACAGACATGAGTACTTAACTGTCAGGAGTGTGGTGCACACCTGTAATCCCAGCCACTGAGGAAGGGGAATCACATGTTCTGCAACTCAGTGAGACCTTAAGTAAAACACTGTCTCAAAATAAAATTTGAAAATGGGATGTAACTCAGGGCAAAGCAATCCTGGGTTCAATCCCAAGTACAAACAAACAAACAAACAATAACAACAACAAAAAACCTTTGTTTCATCACTGAAGTTTTGAGAAGATGGAAGAAATTTCATCACCTCCATGCACACAATTTCAAGTTGTGCAAGAGTCAACCTGTTCTGAAAAGACCTTGTTCATCCCCACCAGGGAGTCACCACTGCCTTAATCTGAGGAGTATTGCAGTTCCAGATCATCCAGGGACTTTCTGTTTTTCTCTTTCTCCTCAGAACAAGCCAACACTCAAAACCATGCTCTCTTGGTCTATTTTCTCTAGCTATAACAATGTACAACAATTAATACAGAAAAGGATCTTACATTGGCTCATAGTTCTGGAGGATGGAATGTGGCAAATCAGAAAGCTGCACCTTCTCAGATGCTGGTGATGATGCCCACCAGGTTGGCACTTTTTTTGGACAGCTGATGTCTAAACATCTTGAGTAGGAAGGGGGGTCCCTGAGCTCCATGTCACCTTAATAGTAACTACTCTGGCCTTCTCTCAGACTTCTTCTCCTGGAGTATTACTCTTTTCAAGAATCTGACTTTCCATTCCCAGATTTCCAAGGAATCTCCATATTGCTTTTCATATTGGCTGCACCAATTTGCAGTCCCACCAGCAATGTATGAGTGTACCTTTTTCCCACATCCTCGCCAACACTTATTGTTGTTTGTCTTCATAATAGCTGCCATTATGACTGGAGTGAGATGATATCTTAGAGTAGTTTTGATTTGCATTTCTCTAATTGCTAGAGATTATGGACATTTTTTCATATATTTTTTGATTGATTGTATGTCCTCTTCTGAGAAGTGTCTGTTCAGATCCTTGGCCCATTTGTTGACTGGGTCATTTGTTTTTTTAGTGCTTAGCTTTTTGAGTTCTTTATATACCCTAGACCCAAAAAACTTAAAAACAGCATACCATAGGGACACAGCCACATCAATGTTTATAGCAGCACATTTCACAATAGCTAAACTTCGGAGCCAACCTAGATGCCCTTCAGTGGATGAATGGATAAAAAAGTGTGGCATATATACACAATGGAATCTTACTCAGCAATAAAAGAGAATAAAATTATGGCATTTGCAGGTAAATGGATGGCGTTGGAGAAGATAATGCTAATTGAAGTTAGCCAATTCAAAAAAAAAAAAAAACAAATGTCAAATGTTTTCTCTAATATTAGGAGGCTGACTCATAGTGGGGTAGGGAGGGGGAGCATGGGAGGAATAGATGAATTCTAGATAGGGCAGAGGGGTGGGAGAGAAAAAGAGGGAGCAGGGTATGATTAGCAAGGATGATGAAATGTGATATACAAAGTACAAGTATGAAGATGTGAACTGGTGTCAATATACTTTATATACAACCAGAGATATGTTGTGCTGTATATGTGTAATAAAAATTGTAATGCATTCTGCTGTCACTTATTTTTTAAAAAATGAATAAAAAAGAATCTGATTTTCATGCTGCTCTCTGAACAAATGCATAGTTTCAAATAAAACATTTACAAACTTCCATTCAAAAGTTTTGTGAAATTTGGTGGTTACTAAGCCTCTTTGATATTTAGTTTCCTGTCCTATAAAATGGAAAAATGTAGAATAAGTATCCACTATGTAGGCAAACTGCTTATGTAAGGATGCATATGAAGAGGATCAAATTGAAATATGTACATACGTGCTCAGCCCAGTACCTTTTCATTAGAATCTCTGAGAAAACGGCAGCTGCAAATGACAGTAATGGCCAAAATATCCCAAGTACCAAGAAGTGAGTCTGAAGACCAAAACCTTGCCAGTGGGCATATGCTGGTCAGGTAACCCGGAATTCCTTGGAAAGTTTCATTATCCCAGGGCAAGCACTGGAAAACTGGTGCCTTCTGTTCCTTTGAATTTCCTTTCACCTATGATTCCTGCCTTTTAGCCTGGCTTAAAAATTGGATTTAATCTTGTGCACCTGTCTTGGATTGTTGCTTTGAGGAGTGTGTGGCTTCAAAGATACAGACAACCAGGAAAACTACATAAGATATTCCCAGAATTCTGTCTGACCAAGCTGGGAGGCCAGGAGCAGACTTGGTTTTTGAGAAACATGGAAACAAAACTAGACAGATGGGTAGAGTAGAAACAAGTTCCTCTGCCCTCTATTCCCTTTCTCTTAAAACTGACATACATACTCAAAAGTCCATAAATCTTGACTGTAGTATGAGGACCAAAATCAAGTTATGTCATAAATGTCAGAAAAGTAACTCACCCTCAATCTTAAGGGCACACAGATATCTAAACTCCTCTCATGGGCAGAGCATTCCCCAGACAGGAAGGGCTTAGGCTCACTACAAGAGCTAGTATGTTCCTTTGTTTCACCTGAGAGCTAAATTCTAACTTCACAACCATAGAGCCTGGAGCACAGAACAGAAGCAATGGGCACCCCAGGTTTCCACTCCCAAGTCATTTGCTCACCTACTCCTCCAGAAACCCACAGCATACAACCCACACTTATTGCCCAATAAGGTTCAGATCCCCTTATTATGAAATACCTTGTATATTACATGTGGCTTCTTTGGAATTTAAATTCCTCAGGGGAATTTAAATGTCAGGATTTTAAATTCTAGCATGGGCTGGAAATTCTACTATTTTGCAGGCACATTTTACAAAGAGCATCTAAGAGGTGTACTCAATGTTAACAGAGGTTTTATAAGTCAAGTTGAAATTGAAACTACCACATGGATTTTTGCATCATAAATAATTTATTTTCCAATGTAAATATTTAAATAAATAATAAAAATAACATAATTTATAAATTAATTAAAAAGTTAAAAACCTCTATTGTCTTTTCAAGGCACCCCATTTGCTGTCTGTCACTGAATGAGCCTCTGCTGGTTGAAGAATGCCTGATCTCATTGTCTGGTCCAGACGTGGTGCCTACTGGGCCATCTTCAGTTTTGGAATTTGTCTGTAAGTCTGTTAATGAAGGAGAAGTTCCAGAAGAGTTCCTCTCTGATGACTGTCCAGGCACAGCTGCTGTACTCCTTGGCCCCCAGGTACATCCGGATCCTCAAATAGTAGCTCTTCAGGGGCAGGATGGTCCCGGAGTATACCTGGCTTTTGTTTTCCTCCCCCAGTTTCTCTACCACCATGTGTTCAGGAGGTCCGTCTGCTGATGGAATTCACGAAGGAGGTCTGTGACAATGGTGTTATTCCAGTCAGGATTAGAGTAGCCTTTTTTGAAAACATGAAAGATGTCCTTGAGCATCTCATAGATGACAAAGGCAGCGTGCTCCTTCTGGAACTGCTGTGGATGTTTGATCTCCTTGGGGATCTTGAAGTCCATCCTGTCACTGAGGCAGTCTGCAGGCCTTCCATTCAACTGCTCTAGGAGCTTCTGACATTCCACACTGCTGTTGAACTGTTGGAGTCGAAGCAGGTTGTAACTTAGGGAAAGAGCTGTGGTGGAGAAGCACAACAGGAGAGCCAGTTGAAGGATGCACCTGTTGTTCATGATGACAACCAGAACAGCACTGCCTACAATCTATGCAAGGTTACACAGACTGCACAGGTCTGCAATGTGAATGTCCTGGCTCCATGGGGATGGGCTACTTATATGGGATGGTCCTCTCTCTTTCAGAGAAATTTCCCACTTTCAGTTCTCCCTTTAATTTTTACTATGTCATTTTCTTCTTATTGCATTCTTAAGAGTTTCTAAAACCTTTCTTATTTAAACTCCTGATTACTCTATATAAGGTATATTAGGGAAAATATACACAAACTGTGAGAATTCCTAATATTGTATAAAGTTTCAGTAATTTCTAAAGCAAAAAGGGAGAAAGGGACTTTAGAGGAAACAAGAGAAGCCCCAAATAGCTAAGAGTCATTAACTGAAAAGCCACTCACAGAACAGCAGCTGGATTGGGGGTTTTGCCTATTGCAATAGTAGGTTCATGTGAGAGGGTCTGGGGGAGTTCAGAGAGACCTTGGAATAGTGCAGAGAAGAGAAAGTTTCAAACCAACTGTGTCTGAAATAGTGACATGTCTTCCATTTTGTTGGCTTACATCCTTGCTCTTGAAGTTGTTAGCCACCATGTGAGGGGTCTGACTGCCCTGAGACCACTGTACTCTAGGGAAGCCCAAGCTAGCTCAGGGGAGGCCAGGTGGAACTTTGCAAGATAATTTAAATGTTTCAGCAATTAAATCCCTTTAACTTGCAATATTATGACTAGAAATCTACCTATGGCTGTCCCTGCAGACGTGTGTGTGAGTGTATAACACACACACACACACACACACACACACACACACACACACACACAATATCTACAAATGTCCATCAGGAGAAAAGTGATTAAGTAATACCATAGTACAGACAAAATGGAATATTATTGCATCATTAAAATGGAAATAGCTGATATAAACCTATGTCACAAATATGTACAATGAAATGAACATAATATATGAAATATATAATACTATACTAATTAATATATAATATAAAATAAACAAATATATTAAATATATAATTATAATGTCATATAATACCTGTAAAGCATAATATATATCATATAGTATAATATATCATAATTATTATATTATAACAGATTATCTATAAAATAATGGAAATGGTAATATTGTTTGTTTTATAAATTAACTGAAAGTCACACACAAGCACAAGTTTACATGAATACATATGCTGATACATGCATATTATCTTTTTCAACAGGTACATTCACTCAAATGTTAATAGTAGTCACTTGCAGCGAAATGGTGACAAGGGTGAGAATGTGGCTTGAAAGAAAAATTTTTCCATTTTCACAGTGTAACTTTAAAAATATTGATAATTTTTTAGTGTACAATTTCTTATTGGTGCATTATAATTATGTATAGTAGTGGGATTCATTAAGCCATATTTATACATGCACACAAAATAACTGGATGCAACTCACTCACTTCCCTCCTGCCTCCCCTGACCACAATCACATATAAGAAGAGCCATGCGGCATCCTAATCATTCAGTATACTTTGTTTGAGGAAAGTTAAAAAGCCTTATTGTATTTAATATATCCCTTTTTTAAATCACATTTAATTTTTTTCTATACCAAAAATACGTTATTGGTATCATTAAAAAATATAGTTATAAAGGAGGAGTAAGTCTTAGTGTCTACAGCACATACAGGAGGCGACTCTGGTTCATAATAACTTATTAGATATTTTAAAAGAACTGGAAGAGAAGAGTTTGATGATTCCCAACTCAAAAACATGACACTGTTTCAGGAGATGGTGGCATAGTCTGGCTGTTAAATGTCCCCTCCAGGCCATGTGTTAAAGCTTAATCCCCAGGGAGCTGCCAAAGGGAGGTGGTGGAGTCTTTTGGAGTTGTCCTCTAGTGGGAGGTTTGAAGGTCACTGCTGGTGGGTCCCTGAAGGGCATTTTGGGAACCTGGCCCACTCCTCACTCCCTTTTACTCCCTGGAAATCAGGTGGTAGTGTTTGTCCTCCTATGGTGAATCCCTGCACTTGTCAGGCACCCAAAGCAAAGGGCCAATTAATCAGAGACTGCAACCACCAAAATGTCAAAAGTTAATTATGTACATTTTAAAGTTAATTATCTAGGGTATTTGTTATGGTAAAAGAAAACTGACTAATCATGGTGAAAATGCTAGTTACCCTGTTTAAATCATTACACATTATAAACATGTATAATGATTACCCCACTGTACAATATAAATGCTTATAATTATCATGTCTATGTCAATAAAAAGCCCAAATATTTGTTCATATCATAAAGGATATAAGATGCTATGAGAAACAGGTATATAATAATAAAGAGACAAATTTATAAAAAGAAGTATAGCAACATCATAATACTCATTTATTTTGTTTGATTTAACACAAAAGACTGATTTTCCCCTTTTTTCTTTGTGTGATTTTCCAGTTTTCCACTGCCAAACATGTGTTCTCTTGTAATAGACCAATCTGCACAAAAGAGGAACAATCAACCACCAAGTGTCAAGGCAATTCTGCCTCTTCTGTGGGTTTTATTCTCACATTTTGGAGTTTGCATGTGAGCTCATGAAAGTTGCATAGCTATTTCCAAAGTTCTAAGAAAAAGTAGATTCTAAGATAATGAAATTTTGAAAAAAATAAAATGATCTTGCAGCTGTTTCACTTATGCATGTCTTGTTATGTCAGTGACTGAGTAATTCTTTGGGGAAACTCCATTTTGAAAACAATCTTAGGATAAATCTGGAATTATCCATGACTCACAACACAAAGACCAATGCAAGGTGTTTCAGAGCTCAATCCTTTCTACTAAGAGGAGAACAATCCAGGGAGTCTGGTGATTAGGACCTGCCCTTTCAGGACAACTTGTGAGCTCATTTAGAGTTGATCTCTCCTGGTGCAGCCTTGGGCCTCCTCCTTGGGCCACATCTAGTGGTTTCTGATCCTCCCATGCTGAAATGATCATCAGAGTTCATTCTATGATAAGAGAAAAGCCACAGAAGTGGAAGCTGTAGTAGTAGTTGTTGTAGTATTGTTACTAATTCTTGAACACTTACTATACAATGTTTTCTGAATAATCCTCATAATAAACATTTGAGTGATATGTTAGTCCATTTTTTATTACTGTCAAAAAAATTCTTGTTTTTGAGAGTGAGAGAGAGAGAATTTTTTTAATATTTATTTTTTAGTTATTGGCAAATACAACATCTTTGTTTGTATATGGTGCTGAGGATTGAACCTGGGCTGCACGCATGCCAGGTGAGCGCGCTACCACTTGAACTGCATCCCCAGCCCTCAAAAAAATTCTTGAAGTAGGCTAATTTTTAAAGAAAATAGGTGTACTTAGCTGGCAGTTCTAGAGATTTAAACTCCAAGATTGGGAGGCTCCATTGATTTGACCAACTCACTCTAAAGGTCAGATGCAGTGTAATTCAGGATAACCTAATAATATCACTGTGTGTGTAAGTCACTTGTAACTCTGGTATAAAGGGGAAAATTTTAGTAACTTTAAGTAACTACAGCTACAAATATTTGTTTATGGATACCCAATATAAAACGTATAACATCGAAAACATACACTGTAACAGGAGGATTAAACATATACTGCTTCTATATGCAATTGAATAAAGTTGTCAGTTTCTAATAGACTGCTGCAATTATAAGATATTCTATGTAAGTTTTATGATTACTACAAAGCAAACCATTGTTTTGTGTATAAAAAATATCAAGAGAAAGGAATGAAAGCACACCACTTCAAAATTATCAAATCACTAAAGGACATAATGATACAGGAAGAAAGGAATGAAGAAACTAATAAACAATCAGAAAGAAATTAACAGAATGGCAATAGCGAGCCCCTACCTACCAATCATTAGTGTAAATGCCAATGGACTAAACATTCCAATCAAAAGTAGAGAGTGTCTGAACAGATTCTTTTAAAATGCCCCAAGAATATGCTGTCTGCAAGAGACTTCAGCTTTAAGGACACATATGCAATGAAGGCAAAGATATGGAAAAAGCTATTCCACACTGACACTGACCAAAAGAGAACATAGGTAGTTGTACTTACATCAGAAACCGTATCATAACACAAGGATGGTCCTTACACAATGTTAAAGGGGTAAATTCATTAAGAGTATTTAACAATTGCAAAAACATATATATGCAACATCAGAACACCAAAATATACAAAGAAAGTGTGAATGAATCTGAAGAGAAAAACAGGTTGTAATGAAATATTAATAGCAATTTCTGTACCACTTTGGACAGTGGATAAATCATAAAAAATGAGGCAATATTGGAGTGGAGCTACACTTCAGTCCAAATGATCTTAACTAACATACATTAAAAGAACTTTCCATCCTACAGCAGAAACCCATTCTTCCCAACTGAATATACAACTTATTCTACAATAGATATGGTAGGCTACAAAATAAATCTGAACAAATTTAAGATTACAATCATATCATATCAGTATTATTTCCAAAATCAATGATATACAACCAGAAAAAAAATTTTGGAAATTAAATTACTCCCTCCTGAATAAGTATCGAGTCAAAAATAAATCAAAGGGGAAATTAGAAAGTACCTGAAAGCAAACAAAAATTGGAATGTAATATACCAAAACATGGAATGCAGCAAAACCAGTTCTAAGAGTGATGCTGATGGGATCAATACCTATAGAAGGGAAAAAAGAAAGCTCTCAAATGATCAAACCACCTTTTAACCTCAATAAACTACTAACAGAAAGGCAAAGGAAGCCCCCACAGTGAGTAGAGGAAGAGAGACAATGAAGATAAGAGCAGAAATAAATTAGAAAGAAACTACAAAAACAATAGGAAAGATCAGCACAAAGTGGAGAAACCTTTGATTACAGTAACTAAGAAGATTCAAAATAAATAAAATCTGGAATAAATGAGGATAGGTTACAATGATACAACAGAAATGCAAAGGAACATTAGAAACTACTATGAACAAGAGCATAATAAATTGATACTCAAAAAGA